GAGAAAACTAGAAACACTTCCTATTGTTTCTGTTTAGTTACCTTGAGGTGTTTGATGTGTCCCTGCTAGCTAACAGTCTCTCTAGGTTTTATGAGCCTACTGCAGCATTACATTGAACAAGTAACAACTGCTTAGCCATATCTCCTAGCTTAAACTAAATATAGAAAACCCTCCTTTCTCCCCCTGCCTCTTTCTGATTTCATTTCAGTTAGCGTTGTTTTATTTGATACCTTCATAGTGACCAAACCATTGTTACCTGAAATAAAATAAACATGAACTGACATAAAATAAAACAAATGGCAGAATTATTTCTAATCCTCTATTAGTTTACTTTTAAGTACTAAAATACCTAAAACCACATGAACTAAAATTAATAAATAAAAAAATAATAAAAACAAAGTAATTTTTAAAAATCTCAAAAAAATTCTAAAACTTTCAAATTAAAGTGAAAACACAAAATATTATATACAAAATAATACACAAAATTCAAAATATTAACAAAAACTATAATAGTAAATGGTACTAAAATAACAGTTGAACAAAACGGTAACACCAAGTATTAACCGTCTGCACGTAATTGATCCTGTACCTTTGTGCTACAGATGTGAACGATTCCTCCGATCGTGCAGCTTGAGGTGATCAGACTTACGGTTTTTGCCTGGCTGATGATAAACACCAGAATATCATAGAGCCTGTCAGATGGGCTCTTTTGACAGGAGGCCTTTTTAACAGCACTTTTGCAAACACTCTAATAACCACAATGCACTAAAACCACTCTGAACACATTAGCGACATCCTGCCAACCACAGACAACTAGCTGCAATCATAATGCTGGAAAACACCACTCTACACCTATTTCCAAAGAACATATTTTCTTCAGAAAACATAAGTCTGAAGGTCTGAAATGTCTGGAATTATCTAAATGATCTGTGATCAGAGCTCTATGAGTACGGAATGAATTGAAGCTGGTCAGTGTGTCCAGTGATGCAATTGCAGTGACTGTCCTCTAGACAGCGCTAATGCTTCACTGACCCCCTCATTATTGGAGAAACTGTCGCTTTGTCCTCTTACATGCTCTGATTTCATTTCAGTTAGCGTTGTTTTATTTGATACCTTCATAGTGACCAAACCTGTGAACCATCAGTGCTTTAAGCCCTTCAGCCCAAAGCAGCCAACGACCTGCAACGGTAGAGAAAGGAACAGTGAAACGGCAACACAAGTGGACACCTGCCACCCAGCCTGAACCACCAGGAGCTGACCAGCATCATCTTCTCCTTGGCCCACACCCTCAAGGGCCTCAGAAAGGAGGTAAATGAACTCAAGCTACAAGTCACCGAGTTCCAAAGGAAACTGAACCCCGAGAAGGAACAGGACAAATACAAGGACCCTGACAGAATGGTGCAACAGACTGAAATCACCAATCTTCAGGAGACTCTGACAGCTGCTGGGCACCGAGAGCAGCTGGAAAACACAGCCAGCAGTGCAAATACCCTCACCCCTGTACAGAGATACAAAGGGGGGAGCCAAAGCCCTCTGCCTGATACTTCAGTAAGTTTCCTGAGGACCTCTGCAGCAGCAGAAGGAAAATGAATAATTCAGGCGAGCCCTGAAACATGGAGTGACACTTAGAGTCCTAACCAAAGACCTTGCCTACCTGTGAGACATTGAGTTTCACCTGCAGTCTTGGACCTGTGTGAACCACCAAGATAGACTCTTTCTGCTCTGGATCACCTCCAGCCCAGAGGTGCAGCCAGGACACATCCAATCGGACTACCAGCAGCTAAAACAAACCATCATAAGGGAATTCTCAGACCCAGAGTCTGAACACGGACTGATCGCTGCCCTAGACACTAAACGGGGCCGGCATGAAACTCCCCATGCTTACTACCACAGACTTCGATGAGCTTACTTTGGAGCTCACAATGATCCTGGGATAGAGGAGGACACCAGCTTCAAGAGCCTTTTCCTTCAAAACCTCCACCCCATTATAAGTCACTATTTAGGCATTATGGCCTGCCCCCACACAATGCCTATTCATGAACTGCGTGACCTGACACAGAAGGCCTATAACAAGCACAAGGCCTCCAACAAAGGTGTTTGTAGGACCCCGCTGATTCTGAACTGCAAAACCCAGAATCCAAAGCATTTCCACAATGCAAGACCCTTCTACAAAAAGCCACTAGCCAACAGAGGACAGAACTGGCACCATGGCAACAGACCCAGGTTCCAGATCAAAAACTGGGAGAAGCCATGGAAGAAGACATTCTCACCCTGCGAACACCACAGTATGTCCAACAGCAGTCCACCACAACATCCTCCACCACACCCTTCACACAGGTGCCAAATGGAGGCTGCACAAGGACAGCTGGACATGCCCTCTTCTGAGCTACAGGAGCTAGCAAAAGAGCTCCTTGAACAGAACTCAACTGAGGAGTGCTGGGAAGGACAACCTTCTGTCTCCTTGCCCAAGGCAACACAGCATCACTAGGTCAGTCTGAAACTCTCTTCACACTACAGAATCTCCATAACCATTCCCTGCGACCCCCAGAACCACCTGACCTCTCATAATTGAGAGTCCAACCCAGCTGTTCCAAACCGCAGGTACCACAAATAGCCTACTGACTAATAACACCTACAAACAGTCATCTGCCCCAGACCAACTCACTTCAGGATGACAGGTGACACTGGCTCGACACCTACTGCACAAGCTTGAGGACCTGCACCTTGCTGCCGCCTACCTCACCACAGCACACCGCCTGACAGCATCCACCACGGCACCACAACCACTCATGTAGGCACCAGCAGCCAGAGAGCCTCCACTGCCTTCAAGTCTTGTGGGCCAGAGGCGTGTCGGATTTTCCGCTTATTTTCCATCGTTCGCCATTGTCTACAGGTCAGACAACAATGCTCGAAAGGGGGGGATGTAACACCAGGACAAATCAGACACACAGTAATTTGTTATATTTAATAAATAATCCCTAACACCCCTCACCCAACCAACATGCCAACTATGAGGGTCTGTGGACCCTTCCCCCGAAATGTAAATAACCCCAAAAGGACAGAACAGACCTCTGGTTATCACAGTGACCAGATAAACTTTTCGACTTGTAGACAGAGTCTCCCTCCTACTTAATTCCCTCTGAAACAGACACATACTGCCTATAGGAAAAGACTCCTTTCATTAATTCATAGCAGAACCTTTCTGTGAATGAACATGCACATCCCCAGAACAATGTGCGTATCATTACTGTTTTGTATTTTGTATAGTTGTATTGTACTGTACAAATTATACTGTTTTATGCATGGCTTATGATAGAATTATTACATAATGTAACCCAATTGGTACCATGTTTGATATCAAAATAACCCTTGTTTAGTCCACCATCCATTGATGCATACCATCTCCTCATAACATGCGTTTTATGCTTGCTATATTAATCATAGAATTAAGGGATATAAAACTGCCTGCCACTCTGATCATGCAAGTGAGCCAGCTTTCAAACAAAGGGTTGTAAACTTTCCCTCCAAAGTTTGTTACCATTGGCTCACTGACCCCCTGGAGGTGTTCAGGCCTTGCCAGAAGTTAAAAGGCCACTACAACAGTGACCTCTCTCATCTTCAGCTGCTCTTCTGCTTCGTCTTCTGGTTGCTGCTCTCATGTGGGACTCACCAAGTCCCAGAACCGGCGCAGTCGTGCCTGGCAGGCCTCAACTACAGTCATGTCTTCACTTTCCGCCTGGGAGAAAACTCGATCGACTACCACTGAGTCAGAATAACATCTTTGGAGTTTGTCACTCTTCAAACCCCGGAATAACGTGATCCCAATTCCAGCAAACCTTCAAACCATCAAGACTTTCATCAGAGACTGCATCCGGACACTCAATCAACAGCCAAGGCAATACAAGTATCGGACATTTAACTAAATGAAACAGAGGTTTAGTATAAGCTGTAGACCCGTTATAAAACGGCACTGATGGCTTCACTCAGGTGGTTAACTGACTCATTTTCATAGCTTCATTCCCCGTTTCTCTTAACGGTTTCATTCATTCGGTCTCATTTCCCCTTCCCTCATGTATTATGTGTTTGTGTTTAGTTAATAAAACTATTGTGCACAAATTAAATGAGTTTCTGATTCTGTCACTGCTTGTGGATAATGTCCCTTTAACGATTCCTGATCTTGCTACATGCTCTAATGCACTAGTACTGTAAGAAAGTTATTTTCTGTGGCCATGAAAATATAATTTCTTGGAGTTGAGATGAAATTACACTGAATGTTCGCTGGATGAACAGATTTATTTGCTGTTATGCAGTTATTTATTTAATTTAGAATTATTATCAGTACTGATTTTCAATAGATTTATTATCAGTATGAATAAAATGGTGACATAAATATTAATGTGTACACTGAATATTACTATGAATAAATAATATGCTATAATGTTGGCATAAAAGTAATGAGAATGAGTTCTGGATGTTTTTTCCTCCATTTCAGTAAAAATAGTTGGGGTGTGAAATTTGCTTGCAAAACCATTAAAAAAAAACTATTTAATCACTTTAAAAAAAAAAAAAAACATTAACTGAAATAAAATAATTTTATTTAAGCTGTCTGCCAAGGCAACAATTATCACTTTCGTGTAGTTTAAGTTGAAGTACTAAAATAAAAACTTAATAAAAACTTTAAGGACAAAAAAAAAAAAGAAAGAAAATTACTAAAACTTTAACTAAAATTAAAGTCTAAAAAAAATCTAATTCAAAATATGAACTAAAGCTATAATAGTCTATTAATGATGCTAAAATAACACTATATAATTTAATTAAATATGACCATATATTCATAATTTTATATGTATCATAAGAGTTACCAGACTGTAAAAGTTTGAGTTCATGTTAAGGTAATTTTCTGTTTAAATTTAAGGTTTTTATGTTGAAAGAGCAGTATTGCTTCTTTACTTTAACTTATATTTTTCTGTTGAAATCTAATGACGTGTGTCTCTTCGCAGGATCTACACTCCGTTCCGTGAGGACACAGAGACGGTGGGTCAGCGTGCACTGAACTCCATGCTCAACGCCTTCATCATGATCGGAGTGATTCTGGTCATGACTCTGGTGCTGGTGGTGCTCTACAAGTACAGATGCTACAAGGTCTGTTCACTCTGCTCTCTGTATGACGCTCACAGACTCTTCTTTCATCCAGGTTGCAGGTTCATGTTTTGTTTTTTGCAGGTGATTCAAGCCTGGCTGTTCTTCTCCAACCTCCTCCTCCTCTTCTTTTTCTCCTTAATTTATTTGGGGTGAGTTCTGTTTTTTTCATTCTAATTTTGCTGCTTTTGGGCTGTAAATAATAGGGGGGAAAGTGATTGATATATATGGATAACTATTAAAGACCCTGTGAAACTGCGTGACAAGTGCACTTTTCTGTCCTGTTTAAAAATATTTTACATTAGTTTTTATTTTTGTGTTTTCTGTTTTCACATTTTTGTAATTTTGTTGTGTATTTTTTTGTCATTTTATTCATTGTTGTTGTTGTTGTTTTTTTCAAAAATATGTCTAGTTTTTATTAATTATTGTTTCAGTTTTAGTTTTTCTAGTACTTTAAATGTAAATGAGAAATGTTGCTTTGGCAGCTAGCTGAAATAAAACATGTAAAACTATTTTATTTCAGTAATCGTTTATTATAAGTAACACTTTTTAAATCATTTTCGTTTTAGTTAACTATAATAACACTGGTCCTGTGTTGATGTATTTCAGATAGAAACAGGTAGTTGGGGGTAAAGACAGCATTTGATTGGAGTATTAATATTATCATTGACAATAATTGAGAAGTAAAATGCCGTATAAAGACTTTTGTTTCTTCACACCAGGGAAGTGTTCAAGACGTACAATGTGGCCATGGACTACTTCACGCTGGCCGTGATCATCTGGAACTTCGGTGTGGTGGGAATGATCTGTATCCACTGGAAGGGTCCGCTGCGGCTCCAGCAGGCCTATCTGATCATGATCAGCGCTCTCATGGCCCTGGTCTTCATCAAGTACCTGCCGGAGTGGACCGCCTGGCTCATCCTCGCTGCTATATCTGTCTACGGTCAGTCACTGAAGACAGCATTCGGTTTGATGAGTTTATTCGGTTATTTATAGTCATATAACTGCCGTGAAGTAGAATAGGGCTACAAATGGTCTCAAGGCTAAACTGCTAATAATTAATGCTTCTTCTGTAGATCTGTTGGCAGTGTTGTGCCCGAAAGGACCTCTGCGTATCCTGGTGGAAACAGCTCAAGAGAGGAATGAAACCATCTTCCCTGCTCTCATCTACTCCTGTAAGTAAAACCTCGCAGCACTGCTGTCTTCTCAGCCTGTGGAGCATTGAATTCAGGGATTTAGTTGACCATCTGGTTCTGTTACATGTGCACCCATTTGATTCGTCAGCAACCATGGTGTGGCTGTTTAATAGTCACTGCTTGTGGATAATGTCCCTTTAACGATTCCTGATCTTGCTACATGCTCTAATGCACTAGTACTGTAAGAAAGTTATTTTCTGTGGCCATGAAAATATAATTTCTTGGAGTTGAGATGAAATTACACTGAATGTTCGCTGGATGAACAGATTAGTTGATGGTAATATGAATTCTGCTACAGTTACTACTGGCAGCTGATAATAATTGTAATTAATTATAAGCAATTGTAGTTATTTATATACATTTCCCTTTTTTGAGCTAATTTGCTACGTTAACTTAAACTAAAACCATTAAAAAAACATTGTTACCTGAAATAAAATAAACATGAACTGACATAAAATAAAACAAATGGCAGAATTATTTCTAATCCTCTATTAGTTTACTTTTAAGTACTAAAATACCTAAAACCACATGAACTAAAATTAATAAATAAAAAAATAATAAAAACAAAGTAATTTTTAAAAATCTCAAAAAAATTCTAAAACTTTCAAATTAAAGTGAAAACACAAAATATTATATACAAAATAATACACAAAATTCAAAATATTAACAAAAACTATAATAGTAAATGGTACTAAAATAACAGTTGAACAAAACGGTAACACCAAGTATTAACCGTCTGCACGTAATTGATCCTGTACCTTTGTGCTACAGATGTGAACGATTCCTCCGATCGTGCAGCTTGAGGTGATCAGACTTACGGTTTTTGCCTGGCTGATGATAAACACCAGAATATCATAGAGCCTGTCAGATGGGCTCTTTTGACAGGAGGCCTTTTTAACAGCACTTTTGCAAACACTCTAATAACCACAATGCACTAAAACCACTCTGAACACATTAGCGACATCCTGCCAACCACAGACAACTAGCTGCAATCATAATGCTGGAAAACACCACTCTACACCTATTTCCAAAGAACATATTTTCTTCAGAAAACATAAGTCTGAAGGTCTGAAATGTCTGGAATTATCTAAATGATCTGTGATCAGAGCTCTAGTTGACCATCTGGTTCTGTTACATGTGCACCCATTTGATTCGTCAGCAACCGTGGTGTGGCTGTTTAATATGGCGGACAGCGCTGAGACCGGGAATAATTCCAGCCATCCAGTTCCTCAGCAGGAGAACCAGGGTGAGTGAGTGAGTGGAAGAGCTCCAGAATCATACATGCATGTAATAATGTGCATCTTCACAGACACACTTTACTGAAGAAATATTAATTTCAGATCTACGTCTAAAAATGCTTCATTGGTTAGATAAAACATTGACCAATAATATCTACACTACCTTTCAAGAGTTTAGGGTCAGTTTAATGTTTCTAAAAGAAGTCTCTCTTCTGCTCACCGAGACTGCATTTATTTGTTTAAAATACAGTATAAAAGAATAAAATAGTGAAATATTATTTCAGTTTAAAATAGCTGTTTTCTATGTGAATATCTGTTAAACTGTAATTTATTCCTGTGATCAAAGCTGAATTTTCAGCATCATTACTCCAGTCTTCAGTGTCACATGATCCTTCAGAAATCATTCTAATATGCTGATTTGCTGCTCAAGACACATTTCTGATTATTGTCAACCAATTATCAATTATTTGCCGCTTTTTTAATTATCGCATCAATCGATACGTTTTTCTGTTTGGTTGATGTGTTTGACCAATGAGATGTGTTGGAAACAAAACTTTTATTTTGAAATTACTTTTATTCTGACAGTTACTTGTACTTTTATTATTTAAATAATAATGAATTATTAGATAGAACTGTTAAAGATAATAAACGGTATATGAAAAAGTATTAATCTACCATAAGCAAATGCACATTTATATCACTTAATTTCACAAACCTTGCCAACTTTATAAAAATCCAGCTGTGAGATCTTCGGAAGTGTGCATTTGTAGCCTTTTGAATTTGTGGTTTTAAAATTTAATTTATGAAAAAAAAATTATAATATTTCAGAAAGTATTTGTCTAAGGTAAAAATCTTTTTATTTTTTATTTTTTCCTAATTTAATAAATAGTTATAAAGTAATTTCAGCAATTGTTATGCATGTGTTTTTGCTATCTTCGTTGACATCGGGCATAAAAAATAAATAAATACCGGTTGAACACTACTGTTGATATTGTTGGTCACTAGTAGCTATTCCTACTCTCTACTATAAATGCAGATCATGTGAGCAGCAGTGTCTGCATCTCATTGGTATTTGCCTCATTGTGTTGCTGCTTATTTGTTAAACTCAACTTTTCTCAGACAGCTGTGAATCGCTGTCAGTGTGAACATTCCTCATGGCGTCTCTCTGTCTCCTGTAGTTGCCATGGCGCCCACGGCTCAGCCGGAGGATGATGGCGGTTTCACACCAGCGTGGGTCAATCAGCAGCAGCATCAGCTCGGCCCCATGCAGTCCTCTGAGGACAGCAGACGAGAGATCCAAGAGTTGCCCTCCGCACGCCCGCCACCTGTGGAAGACGACGAAGAGCGTGAGTATCTGCAGTAACTCTTCCGGTTCTGCCCCTCCTTTCCAATGAGGAGGACACCCAGCACCCCTCAGCATGAGTCCTCCGTGTCTCTGAAGTCCGTGTCACATGATCAGACCACACATGGTCAGTGCAAAATACATGCGGCAATGGGGTCCAAATAGTTTCACTCAAACCACATGTGGAAGTAGTGCCATGGAATAGGCCACAGTGGTCAACTGGTTGTCCCTTTTGTAAAAAGTATTTGAATTTCTATTTCACACTGTTTTAAAAGATAAAATGACCCATAAAATTTAAAAGAATCAGCAAAAATATCTACAAATGAGGTGTGTGATATGAAATAATGATATTGGCTATTAAGGCCATGTCCACACGTACACGGGTATTTTTATAAACTGAGTTTTTCCTTCTTCCGTTTTAAAAAAAAATCTCCGTCCACATGAAAACGCAAAAGCATGCTATGAAGCACTGTCAAGAGCATGCCAAACCAACAGGTGGCGATATAATCTCAACCGTAAAGCCATGTTGGCCAATCAGAATCCTGAAAAAGTTTCCAGTAGGTGGAGATAACAGCGCAGGCTCCGACGTCACGAGCCAAAATCTCCGGTTTCGCCGTTTACACGATAACACTGCAACCGGAGTTTTTGAAAATCTTCACCCTGGCAGGCGTTTTCAAAAATGTTCGGTTTCAGTGAACTGGTGCTGCATTTGCGTGTGGACGAACGGCCAAACCGCGTAGAAAAAGCTGCGGTTTTAAAAATACCCGCGTTTGTGTGGACAGGGCGCTAAATGTGGTTGCTGTTAAATGCAAACAAAACCCTCACTTCCTGTTGCATCCCCATTAAGCGGGATTTCGTGCACTTGCTGATGTTTGTGTGTGTTTTTCAGGGGGTGTGAAGCTGGGTTTGGGAGATTTCATCTTTTACAGTATGCTGGTGGGTAAAGCATCAGCTACAGCCAGCGGTGACTGGAACACGACAATAGCCTGCTTTGTGGCCATTCTCATCGTAAGTATCCCAAAGAAAACGAACAAATCTCTAAATCGGGCACAATTCAGTTATTATTCTCCAGACAGGCAAAACCATTGTTTTTTCATGCACTGGTCAATTTTGTGATTTTGGGCTATTTTGCTTTTAGATTTTAGCCTTCCTGTAGTCTAATAGAAAGAAAACATCCTAAGTACACATTTAAATATTTGTTTTTATTACTCTTTTTGTATATGTAAATTTCAATTACATGTTAAATAAGATGATGTGTCAATGTGCATATTTAAACATTACACAAAACTGTTGTCTTAATGTACTGTGATTCATCAACTGGAGAATGTATGGTAATATGGATTAGTTAACATTTTTATCCTATTCACATATAGTGTCTTGCTTAAAGTCACCATGAACCCATTTAAATGTGAAACAGGATGTTCAGTGAGTGACAGGACTTGATCTTATTCGTCAGAATTGATTGGATTGTGTAAAGTGGTGACGTAACACCACTTTTTTTTTTGCAGTAACATGCACAGATAACTGTCAAAGCAAGTGTCAGCTCCACCAAACAACTAATGTCAGAGTGTCAAAATGACCCGTTCACCTATGTAACGTGTTGCATGTTTTGTTAGCATTCACAGTAGTCTGATTTTTATTTTTTCCTCAGGGTTTATGTCTAACTCTGCTCCTCCTGGCGATCTTCAAAAAGGCCCTTCCAGCTCTCCCCATCTCTATAACCTTCGGCCTGGTCTTTTACTTTGCCACCGATAACCTTGTGCGGCCGTTCATGGATCAGCTGGCTGTTCATCAGTTCTACATTTAGCACGGAGGAGAGGTCACTCCTCATGCACTTCACTTTACAGCTAATTCCCAGAATCCTCTTGCAGGGAAAGTGAACCCTGTAGACTAGCCCACCTTTCCTCTTCCTCTGGACACATGATTGGATTCGCTGTTTTTGGCATTGAATGACTCTTTATTAATTACAGTGCCTGTCCAGCGACTCATCTGATCCTGATATTTGCTTTGGTAACTTCTTCGGGCGATATGCCGAACATTTGTTTGCTTGGAGAAAACACAGACCATCTTACATGTAAGAATGGATGAAAGTGATCATAACTTTATCACTTTGATGAACTCTGGTGTATGGAATGGGACCAGAGCTTGCTTTGTCCACCAGATCTTGGATTCACTTTCTAGGCATTACGTTAATTCCAGCTCCGATATAGTGAGCATTAACCCAAAGCTCTCTGAATGATATGGCTGCACGCACAGAGGTAGGTACTGATCACTTTTATTGGTCTTCTGAGGGTGCCTGTGATACTTTGAGTTTTCATTTTTAACACCAGCTGAGTCCAGCCATTTGACCATATTTGAGACGATGTTCTGGGCTACTCTAGCATTAAATCAAGTGCTGATCCAAGCTACTGTTTTGCTCTCCTGAAAAGTGTGAGAGCGTCATTTTGGAATCTATAAACGTTCTTTTTAATTTCCTACGTGTTTGGACAAGATGTCAGGAGACTGTGTGGGAATTGTTTGTTTGTTAATTTTTTGTTGTTGTTTTGTTTCTTTTCTTTTTTATTTACCAGCACAATGGTTGATGAATGACTTTTACTTTCATATTACCCACACCTTTTGTCATTTCAAGAAAATGGAAATGTTTTGTAACTAAATTGAAAGATTCACAAATAAAAGGGTTGCTCATTTGAGCAAATTTCAGTCTCCATCATATCATTTTCTGTTGAAATGATTTTTTCCCCCTTCTTTAGCCTTGAGTACACCTGATATTCACAATCATCTCATTGATCTGATGACAAGTAGAGATTAATATCATGTAAATTCGTGTCCAAACTGGTCAGGGTTGCCAGGCCTGTGTAACAAAACCAGCCCAACTGGTATTCAAAACTAGCCCAATAATGGCCAAAAGTAGCCCAATCGCATTCCGGGGGAAATTGCAGAACAAATTTGAAACCTCCTTTCATGGGGTTCCACCTCTGTCAAAATCGTGTTGGCATACTGCGTGCAGAAGTTTTCTCTATTCAAAACAAGCAGTACAAATATCTGTGAACCACTTAAAAAAAAAATCTGCTTCTTATAGTTTCCATGACAAATAGAAACAATTTATCTAAAATCAGCTCAAAATATCAAACATGTCAGATATACATTGACTGGATGGAATCAAGGAATGGTTCTTTACCCACCATACAATGTGATTTTCTGTGAAATCTGAAAACTTCCAACTACCCAAGATCTGCAGACATCCTCTGACTTTCAGCAACTCACGTTGACTCGTCCAGACTGCAAATCGTGGCTAAAATCTGGACAAAAGTTGCGTAATGTATTCAAATGTTCTGCTCATATTTCAGCACTGAGCCCCGTTCAGTCCCTCATGTGCGATGGTTCCTTGAAAGAACAAATTAGAAATGGCATGCAAATAAGTTACCACCTCATTTAACCCTCAACATTACCTGGTAGAGGTGTTCTGTCCTGTAGTAAATCTATAGCCTTCTCATGTAAGGCTTAACTGGACTGGCCAACTTTGAGGACATTAGGGAACAGTCAAGTCAAATTACCGTGGGGCTCATTGTCTTTGACCTGTTGTTCAGTCTCACTATTGTTAAAGGGCCTAAAAATGGTGGGAACATTTCAGAAATTCCACAATATTGAAGGACTGTGCAACCCCTCTTCCGAGTCCCTAAACCTTTGGGATTGGCATGTTGCCTGAAACTATAGAAGTAGTAGCGGTTTCCATGGGGACCGCTTGGCACAGCATGCTGGGATGGCCGCTCTCTTTTGACATTGTACCTTGGTGATTAGCATCAAGCTGAGCCTTCACATTCCACCTCAGCGTCTCACCTGAAGTCTACAATTATCTTATGCCACAGGTGAAATCAACGGATTTCCACAAAAACACAACAGGCACTGGCACATCACTATTATTATTGCTCAGGCAGTTTTTTCTACAACTCTAGAACTTGGCAGGCAAGTCATTCCTTAGTATTTTGGCTAAAAATTTGTTTTTTGAGTTTTGAGTTGAGATTGAGTTTTGCCTGGAGGGCAATAAAAATGGTTAAAAAAAAAAACTAAAGATTTGCATTGAATGAAGGACCAAGGACAGGGCTCTTCAACTCCAGTCCTGGAGGGCCAGTGTTTTGTGACTTGAGTACCAATCCTAGTTAAGTCTGACACGTTCCCGTAGTTATGCTTATGTGGTGTTTGCATACTTTATCACAGATGAAGTGGATTAGATTCGATATTTTCATTCAGTACTTCATATACTGCTTAATCCAGAGCCAGTGTACAAGAATAAAGTTCAACATAAGCCTATACTTTAAAATATCAGTAAAGTAAGTTCTATATTTTTTATCATTTTTATTTTGATAAACAAGACATTATAACATTAGGATTACTTAAAATAATTTCCTACTGTTATAAGATCAGATTTTAAAACCATTAGCAGAATTGAAGGTGTCGGAATAAAAACGAAACAGACAATCGTTGTCATTGGTGAATCCGGCCAGTCCTGCACAAAATGAGCCAGCTGACTGCTCTCGAATCAATCTCATAATTATTGACATTATTTTGATAGCATACGCCACAGTGACTTGATGTCAGACAAAGTCATGTCACAAAATTTCTAAAATGCACTGCTTTAAAGCAGATGACAGTCAGTCTGTGCAGTGCCAAATGAAGTCAAACACAGCTCTTTATTAGCTTGTTCCAGTGAGTTTTGTTGGGGTTAGAGTTAAACTCAGCAGAATTGGAGTCCTGACCTATGCCATATACTGTATCAGGGGTGGCCAACGTTGGTCCTGGAGAGCCACTGTCCTGCAGAGTTTTGCTCCAACCTTGATAAAAACTCACCTGCTTGTAGCTTTCTAGTAACGTTCAGCTCGTAAATACGATCTATCCGACATGACTTGAATGCACCATTAGACCTTGATTAGCTTGATCAGGTGTGTTTGATTAAGGTTGGAGCTGAACTCTGCAGGACTGTGGCTCTCCAGGACCGACGTTGGCCACCCCTGCCATATATGTTCCTTTAGGTCAGGGGTTCTCAAACCTCTCCATGAAGTACCCCCAGCCCTGCACGTTTTGTATGTCTCCCTATATCTGACACACCCACTTCAGGTCTTGCAGTCTCCACTAATGAGCTGATGAGTTGAATCAGGTGTGATAGATGAGGGAGACATACAACATGGGCAGGGCAGGGGGTACTCCACGACGGGTTTGAGAACCGCTGCTTTAGGTCAGGGGTGTCCAATCCCGCTCCCAGAAGGCCACTTTCTTGCAGAGTTTAGCTCTAGCACACCTGTGTGGAAGTTTCGAGTAACCTGATGTCCTTGATTAGGTGTTTCAGGTGTGTTTAATTGGGGCAGGAGCCAAATTCTGCTGGAAGGTGGTCCTTAAGGAGTGGGATTGGACACCCCTGCTATAGGTCAAACAGTGGTTACAGGGATGGGCAACTTCAGGCCTGGAGGACTGCTGTTCTGGACTGTTTTGTTCCATTCCTAATCAAACACACCTGCCTGTTATTTTTAATCAATCTTAAAGACTTAGATTAGATTTTTCAAGTGTGTTTGATTAGATATGGAGCTAAACTCTGCAGGATAGTGGCCATCCAGGACCAGAGTTGCACATCCGTGCAGTCGCGCATAATTTTAGCAACGGTTTGATTCCCATTAAGATGTACGGCATGCCTTGAATGCAGTGTAAACTGTTGCAAGCAAATAAAATAAGATGGCAGAACATCACAGAGATTTGGGTTATTCTTTTGAGTTGGGCCAATAAATAATTGGGCCAGAATACCATATGTGAAGTTGGGTTAGATTCGGTTTGGTTTTTAAAACTAATTTGTGTCAGTGTGAAGAAGCAGGGCTACATTTGTTACTCCTTTTTTTGTTAGCTTGTTTTTTTCCCCAAGTCCATTCAATTCCTGGAGCTGTATTAAGTTGGCTTACTTGAGGCCATGCAAGGAAAGGACAGAAAGGAAAGGATGTGATGTGTGGCCAAGTATGGTGTCCCATACTTGGAATTTGTGCTCTGGTTTTTAAAGCTAATTTGTGTCAGTGTGAAGAAGCATGGCTAAATTTGGTTACTCCTTTTTTTGTTAGCTTGTTTTTTTCCCCAAGTCCATTCCATTCCCGGAGCTGTATTAAGTTGGCTTACTTGAGGCCATGCAAGGAAAGGACAGAAAGGAAAGGACGTAATGTGTGGCGTCCCATACTTGGAATTTGTGCTCTGCATTTAACCCATCGAAGTGCACACACACAGCAGTGAGTAGTGAACAAACATGCACACACCGTGAACACACACAGTTGGGGGTTCGGTGCCTTACTCAAGGGTGTCACCTCAGTTGTGGTATTGAGGGTGGAGAGAGCGCTGGTAAATTACTCCCCCCACCAACAATTCCTGTTGGACCTCAGACTCGAACCTGTGACCTTTGGGTTACAAATCTGACTCTCTAACCATTAGGCCACGACTGCCTCACATTAGGCTGTAATCTCTGGAGGTGTGTCTTGAGCATCTAGACCATCGAGACTGTAGGAGATGTGGCTAAGGATAGCTCCTCTAAGGGGATTACTAGAGGTGTGAGGGAGTGTCCTATGACATGCAAGAAAAGCCAGCGCTCAAGGATTAGGCCATTAGTAATTAGTTGGGACACTGAGTCACACCGCAGGCACCGAAGACACAGCCACTCTCTTATCTGCCACTCCTACACTGCAACCCAGACCAATACCTTCCACTATAAACCATGTCGAAGGAAAAACTGGAAGGCCTGGTGAAGCGCATGGAGGTGACCCTCGTGGAGATGGAGCAGCTGAAGCTGCACTGTGGCCGGCAGAGTGAGGAGCTGAGCCAGTCCTTAGGCCCAGGACATGAAGGAGGCTAAGGAAATCATCGAGCAGTTGCAGGACACCAAGTACGCTTTTGACGCAAAGGAGAGGCAAGCCCTGAAGCTCAGCCGACAACTATGAGAGACCACAAAAAACGGACTGGTGACCCAATGTTTACTAGGTGCATGTGGCGTGTTAATGGGAATTTTAGCAATTACAGAGACTTGTTACAAAAGAGTGAAGGAAACTACATGGACTTGGAAACCTATTTAATGATTACACACTGTGTGCTTCTGCTGGTGTGTTTTAGGAATGAACAAATATAAAATATGCCAATGCTGAGTGTTGATTTAAATGTTCTTTAGTTCATCCCTCAAAATGTTTGGTTTCAGTGTAATGAAAGAATGGCAAACTGCAGGTATTTTGCTAATAGAAGATCCTAGATTATGGCTGAAGAAGAGATTATCTAAATGTGAAATGGCAGAATCCTCCTGGAGACTATGCATGTGAATCAGTAGTTTTGAAGCAATCATGGAAACACTCTCTCTTTTGGACCCTAAACCCAAATCGCAGTGGTTAGGTTATAGATTGCACCAACATAGGTATTGGTGCCCTGAATAGTTGCAAAGATTAAATCCAAATATATCCCATTCCAGGTAATCGGTTTAGAAAGATGACTAGTTCAAGCTTTGCCATCTGCATGGAATTTCAAAATGCCTTTGAATGAAGACCTTGAATTATGGTTCTCTCGTTTTATACTCTAAACATTACACTAACTAATCACTTCTCTATTAAAAACTAGAGGTTTCTCTAATGCATTTTTGGTCCCTGTCACAATATGCAAAGCCAGCTATTTAGGGGGAAAAAAGAGGTATGCTGTTAGTCC